GTGACAACAGAGGTGTGCCAAGGCCCCAAGTTTCCCTCCACCTGCTCCAGTATGGTGTTAGTGAGTGTTGATGAGGTGTATTCCACGGCTGTGGTGAGCGGGCAGTGCGGACATCGTCTGACCTATGCCAGCTGATGGCACCACACCACCCCACTTGCACCCACAGCCCTCAGTGTCTAAGTGCAGTTTAAAATTGGAAGTGGGCACCGGCACTTGGGAGGAGGCTGAGAAATCCCCCTGCCAACTGCTGTTGAATGTGCTCACTCCCAAGGCCCTAAGTGTGTGTTTGCGTGGAATGTCGTTGGTGGACGTGTTTAAGGTGCAAATAAAATTGGGGGGCAGGTTGCCACAGGAATGCGGAAATGGGGTCCATACCCGCACTCCCTGGCTTGTCCACCCCCGAAGGTCCTATGTGCATGATTGTAAGATGATGTGAGGGAGCAGGAGGAGAAAAATGTGTGGGGATGGGGAGGAATGGCTGGTTGGGCTTTGCCCTCCAGGGAGCCAGCTCCCCCACTGGCCCCAATAGGCACCTCTGTTGTCAAAATGCCACCCAGGGCATGGAGACCCCAGCCCATTCTGCCAGGGCCAAAAGCAGCAGCATCACAGAGCCTCACGGAGTCCGAGGGCACCAACACAGTCCCACCCCAGCAGAATAGCTACACCCATCCCTACATTTGCACATCTTTTTTTTTTATTTATTTTTTTTAATTTACCGTGTCCTGTCTGGCTGTGAAGCAAGCAGAATTGATGTCTGAATGCTGGTGACAAGCCTTACAGATTTATTCTCAGGTGGAGCATCAAAGCGTTTGCTTTTAATGTCACGCCTGATACCTAAAACTTTATTGTTATTGTTGTTGAATGCTTTGTAATTCCGACCAGACACGGAGACAGAGATGAAAGAGAAAGGAAGAGAAAAGGTGGAGAGAGAGGGGGGGGGGGGGGGGGGGGGGGGGTCCATAAAAATAAAAAATGAACAAGAGTCTGCTTCTAAACCTGCAGAAAAAGACAAAAAAAACAAAAGGACACAAAAAAGGGACACAACAACAATACAACAAGATCTACCTATCACTGCGTCAACTTGATGAAAAAAAAACAAAAAAAAAACAATATATATATATATATATATATATATATATATAATCAACATTGCTTAACTGAAGAATCACGATAATAAATCACAATGCATTAAGTGCCCCCCATAGTCTTAAGACATGTGTTGAACGTGCCCAAGCCCATACTTTTGAGAGCACCATGTGAGCACCTGTGTGTGTACACGCGCTTGTTTATGTAAGGTTTCTCTATAGGAGCGTCCAACAGAGAGTGTGAGGGACCACATATCCGACCCCCAAAGATGCGCAGGAGACGGGGGGAGCTCCAAGTCCCAGAGATCCAGGCGTTGCCCCAGAATGCAGGAACCCCAAGGAGACTGCAACCAGAAAGGCCCCCGCCCCCCTCGAGAGGCACAGAGGATCGCCCCGGGGGGCCACAACCAGCAGCCGGCAGAGTCCCTGGAGATATCAGCGGCAAGTCCACAGGCCCGCCCGCAGCCTCCCACCCCCTAGCCGGCCGAGCCCGGGACCCAGCGACCCGGGACCCAGGGGTGACCTACATTTGCACATCTTCCAGATTATATAAGACATCCAGGTAAGGTTGGGTCCTCCCCCTCCTGGACTTCCCCCTCCCCGGTGATAGGACAGCAGAGGAGCCAAGGTCTACCTGAGGCCCCTGAACCCGAGCCAGGCACTGCTGCATGTTCCTGCCTTCTTCCCGGCAGCATACATGTCAGGACCCGACCCCCAAGGCCCCACCCAGATCCCCACATGGGGCCGGCCACCCCCACACCCCAAGCCCCCAGGCCCCCACCCAGACCCGCCCAGGGGCAATGCAGCTGCCGGGCAGTGACCCATGGCCACCGCCAAGACCTCCAAGGGGCCCCACTCACAACCGCCAGTAGTCCACCCCCCCGAGGCAGGAACAAGCGCTATTCAGCCAAAGTTTCATAATCAGGAACATTTTCTAAGTGACAAGTCTCTCGGAGAGACAGGGTTTGGGAAACACTCGCTTCAGTGAGAGGAACCTTCCCGCCTGACCCTGGTTCTGCAACGCGCTCCAAGCCCCCGATCTACACATCTTCAGCTCACTGTCAGCATCTTACTTGTGCGCTGACAGCGAGCTGCGTGGAACTCAGTGTCCAGCTCAGATATTCTGATGGGAATCTTTTCTTGATTGGTGTAGCTACCTCCACGATGTGCGTAACGATAAAAATATCAGCGCATCTGCAGCCTCGAGGTTTCTCCGTCAAAATAAATGATCAAATACGGGAAATATCCAGTCATCGTGAACCCTGTCACTTAACTGTTTTGCCTTCTTGTGAAGATTGTTGCAAACAGGAACATTAAACTTGATTAACACCAGAGCCACGTACTACGCCGTTATCTCCATCTCTGTACTCCGTAAATTAGGCAAAAACAAATTGATCGGATCATTTTCTTACATTTTCAGCATTGTTTAATGTAAAGTTTAGTTCAGCACAAAGTTTAATTACAACAATCCAACGAGACAGAGCCTGGATTTGTATTCAGAACAGTTTAAACATGTTTAAAAGGAGACGTGTGACGCGTCAAAAAACCTCACCTGCTCAACATTAAAACCACTAACGGTGAAAAATATCTAAGTACTGTCGACACAGACGGGCTACAAGTTCTGGGTCAATTTTATACAAACTGTTTTATTAATTATCTTCTGTTGAAAGATAACTTTAAGGTACATGAGTGAATGGTATTGGTTGCTGTCACCTGTTGTGATCGGATAAAGCAGCTCTCTGCTGTCTGAGGGTAGGCCCCGCCCACAACGCTGCGGCTGCTGCGGCTCCCAGTGTTTTCTTTACTGTGGGAAACGGGTAATAATGGCTCTTTGATGGGAAAAGGTTGCCGACCCCTGGACTACAGTGTGATCAACAATGGCGGGAGGAGAGAGAGGTGCATTTTCTAGCTGGAAATATAGTCAGTATTATGAGTTTGTATCAGCTAAAGATGAAAATATTAAGGTTCGTTGTACACTCTGTGCTGGCTCTGTGCGTTTTATTTTTAATGAATACTATTTATTTTAAGTGAGGTTAAAAAAAGACTGTTTTTGTTTTATTTTTATACAAACATGCTTTATGTCAGGCAATAGGTTTCCTTCCTTCCTTCCTCCTGTATCTGCTTCCTCTTCAGAACATCCTGAGCTCCTTCAAAGGAATCTCCTACCATCTTTATGCAGATGACATCCAACTGTACATCTCCTTTAAGCCCCATGAGATGTCTAAGCTGCAGCTGTTACACACCTGCTTAGACTCTATCAAAACCTGGATGGCTGGGAGCTTTCTTCAGCTGAATGACGATAAGACTGAGATCCTCATCTGTGCCCCAGACAAGCTGGTTCCCAAAGTCAGAGACTCTCTTGGTCAGCTTGCTTCTCACACCAAACCTTCTGTCAGGAATCTTGGTGTGACCTTTGACCCAGCGCTCACCCTGGATTCTCAAGTCAGTTCTCTTGTTCGCTCTTCCTTCTTCCATCTCAAGAACATTGCTAAAATGAGTCCCATTCTGTCCCGGTCTGAACTTGAGACAGTTATCCATACCTTCATCTCCTCACACTTAGACTACTGTAACTCTCTTTTCACGTGTCTGAGCAGAACCTCCCTGAACCGTCTACAGGTGGTTCAGAATGCCTGTGCTCGGCTTCTGACCAAGTCCTCCAAACACACCCACATTACCCCGCTTCTCCTCCAGCTTCACTGGCTGCCAGTCAACTTCAGGGTTCATTTCAAGATCCTGGTTCTGGTCTATAGGGCCTTACATGGACAAGCACCATCTTACATTGGTGATCTTCTTAGTCCCTAAACCCCCAGCAGGTCCCTGAGGTCCAGTGATCAAAGCCTACTGGTTGTGCAGCACCAGGCTAAAGACCAAAGGTGACAGATCATTTGCTGCTGTGGCCCCCAGACTCTGGACTTCTCTCCCCCTGAGTCTGAGATCAGTGAACTCAGTGGACTCCTTTATAAAGCAGCTGAAGACTCACCTGTTCAAGCTGGCTTTTGTATGACCTTCTTCACCACTCTCTCTTTATTCTGCTCTCCCCGCCTATTCCACCTTCCTCAGGATCCACTGATTTCCCTCTTTCCTATTCACTCTCTCTCTTTCTTAACATTTTTTCTTTTAAATTGCAATTGCTTATTCTTGCTCATTTTAAATATATTTTTTAAACATTTTCAAAATGCTTTTTTATATTTTTACAATTTTAATATTTTTTGTTTTTGTGAAGCGCCTCGTGATTTTTATCTTGAGAGGCGCTATAGAAATGATATTTTCTTCTTCTTCTTCTAAGTTCAACTTAAAATGTAAGAAGATACTTTGTTGACATTACTGTTGAAAAGCATTTGCAATAAAGTGAGTGTTGGCAAAACCAGTTGTAGTTTTTATGTTGAGGCAGTGGGAAGTGTTTTTGGTAGATGCTGAAAGTAACTAATAAAGTAACTGGTAATCTAACTTAGTTAATTTTTAAATGAATGAATTAGTAAACTAAGTTACTTTTGGAAGGAGTAATCAGTAATCAGCTTACTATTTCAAGGTAACAGTGGCAACACTGCGTATTAAGTCGTCTATTCCACACTAATCTACATATGCAGTTTCTCACTTTATTTTTAGGAAATATAGATCTACAGATCCAGACAGCTGATGAATATTTATTTAAGGTTTTGGTTAAAAAAAGCACTGGTTACTCCCAGATTCGCCTACAATACAGGAATGGATAAGTATAGTAAATTACATTTATCTTATGGAAAGGATCATCACCTCCCTTTGCCTTCAGAAAAATACATTTATTAAACTATGGACCAAGTGGGATAAATATGTTGGCCTTAAATAGACAAACATTCCAAATCTGAATGGGTGATCTGTCATTGTCTCGCATTTCTGAAAGCTTTACTGGACCTAAAGACTAACCTGCATCTCTCATACTTTACTTCAAAACCCCCTGAGAAACACTTTATGTACTCCCGTATTTAGACCTGTCTTTCCCAACTTGTTCGAAATGTTCTAATGTAATCTTTGTTTTGTCCACAAAAAATACAACTGTGAGTAATGGATATAGTGTTAAGTAAAGTAAGCTATGTAATGCAATGTTCTCACAAATAAAATAAATGTAAAAAAAGAAATAGAACAAAAGTATTGCGTTCGGTGTATAACTGTGTAATCTTAGACCTGCCCCATTTTCAGACAATAAAGCTAATCAGTGTAAATTGTAAATAATTTTTTAAGAAAAAAAAGAAACAAAGTCAAACTCTAATAGAAGTGCATCTAGACTCAAACCTGCGTAACACTAAATGAAACTGCAGATCAAAGTAAGCTGAAGGCTGGAGAGAATAAACCCAGCTCCAGGACTCTGTCCTGCTCCTGACTGCTGGCAGCAAAAACAAGCACATCTATAACTCACCTGGTCCTCTCATACAGGTCTCCTTCAACAGCTACAAACCCTGGTCCCAGCAAGCTTGGTTTAAGCATAAGCCAGCAAATGTTCCACAAAGCAGATTAAAATCAAGCAAAACAACCTGAATCTGAATCAGTAAGTACAGCTCAATGTTTTCAAAATTTTTAGATTTTTAAATCCTGTAATTTACTGTAAAGGGTTAAAAATGTGGAAATGAAATTCTTATTTATAAGAAAAAAAATAGCCAATCAGGTTTAGGTTAAATCAACTAGAGGTCATCTCTCACCCCTTCATCTTTTTCAAGCTCTAGTCCCATCTCACGAAGGTTTTCTTCAAACTCCTCCCGCCTGAAGCGCTTGTCGTCCTCGTGATAGTCAGCCCGTTGCTCCTGGGCGGCGATCTCTGGGTCTTCCTTCTGCTGCAGGGGGGCTCGGCTGTTCCTCATGCTGCACCACAGCCTCTGCAGAAAGTTGGTGTCACTAGATTTGGATGAGCGGCGCCGGACATAGTTGGGCTTTTGAATGCTGTATGTCAGAACGAAGTCCACCCGGCGCTGTCCATCAGAGAAGAACGGACCAAGCTGCTGATGATCTTCATTATAAAGTGTCTTCATTGGCTGGAAGCAAGACACAAAGAAATCACAGCATCAGAGATCACAGAACAGCAACGGGTCTCACCAACTATAAACACCACAGCCAGCAGCAGACTAACATACCTTCATGGTGCCATTGCAGACCACCTGAGCAGGAACAGTCAATAATCTGATCTCATCCAAACACCCTTCCTTTTGTAATTTTCTAAATCTGGCAGCAGATTTAGAAAATTGCCCACCTTAAACACTACTTGGTTTAAGGTGGGTTGAAATATAACAAGTTGGTGTGGCTGCTGGGTAACAAAACTAGAGCTACATATCTGACCAAGGATAGCAGAGGCTATCAAACTTCGCTGTTCCATGGAGCCGAGTCTGCCAATGTCGACTTGACTCCATGGGATGTCGACACAGCGGTGAGTGTCCGCGGATCTTTGACCGAAGTGGACCAGCAAAGTCCTAACTCTGTTAGCTAATGTCCCGCTAATCCCGACCGTGGAGCATGAGCTGATGTAAAATGCCACGGCGCCTGGCTACCATTGAGGCGGTCTGAGGCTCCGCTTGTAATTTAACAGTCCCGGGCGATAATAGATCTCTACAGGCGACCAGCATGACTACAGCCTTGCATGGGAGCCAGTCTGCCGTGTGGGCGGGATACCCCAGTCCAAATAGCCCTTCTTAGCTTCTTGGGTTAGCCAACAGTAACAGCTCCACCCTCAGTTCCACTTATTTTCCCATTTTTGGATTGTCTGGGCATGACAGGACATGTGACAGTCAAAATGGCAGTCGTGGGAACCTCCCATTTAGAATCAGAAACTTCATAATTCAAGCCAATGGACATGAATTGTCCAGCATATTTGTCAATGGGAAAAGTCTTTGGTGTCTCCCTGAAATGATGGCCATGCAGCTCAAGGCACGGCAGTGCAGTCTCTGTGTGTGGGCTGCTCACGGCAGTGAAAAGGAGAGGCAGAGAGATGCAGCTTCAGTCTGTATCTCTCTGTGGTGTGGATGTGTGTATGCGTGTGTTCTTGTACTTACTACATACCGAAGACCATTTTGACCATTTTCCCTACTATGTGAGGGCATTTTTTGGTCCTCACTTTTTTCAGAAGCTTACCAGTTGGCTTTACAGGGATGGTGTGAATTAAGTTCTAGTAAAGGTCAGGGTTAGGAGTAGATCAGCATTGGTTAGGGTTGGGCATAGTGGAGTCACAAAAATGAATGGAAGTCAATGGAGGGTCCTCACTATGATAGAAAGACAGACGTGTGTGTGTGTGTGTGTGTGTGTGTGTGTGCGTGCGTGCGTGTGTGCGTGCGTGCGCGAGAGATGCAGCTTCAGTCAGTGTCAACGTTGACTTCTCAGTATCCAGAGACCCTGTCACTGTTTACATGGACACTGACTGAAATTATCCAATCATGCCATGAGTACTCATGCACCAAGCATTCAGTCTGATTAAATAGGTTCAGCATGCGCAGAATTGTCTTTCCCGGAAAAAAAATTGTAAACAAACACCATCTTGTCTGCACGACTTTCTCCTCACATTTTATTTTCTTATTCTCTAGTTTTGTCCGTTGACTTATGTTTTTATTCCCCGTTATGGACCGTCTTTGCTTTTTCACCTGTATGCTTTTGTTTTTACTGATTGCTTTAATTAAGCTACAGGTTCAGCAGTATGTAACACTACTGGTCCTCTGTCACAGGAGAGGAGAGCAGGATAACTTCTGTTTAATTCCCGCCATGTTTTCAACTTGTTTTGAGCGACTGCAAAGGCAGACAAACATCACGCTGAAGTTCCACACACATGCAGTGGGCATTCTTTTACTCCATGAATCCAAATGAGTGTGCACATGGACGTCAACCGGAATGATGATTGGACAAAACCTCCTCTCTCATTCGGAATGGAAATTCATTCCAATCAGGCTGTACCAGATCAGAATATTCCAATCGACATGTTTACATGAAGAATTTTTGATCTGATAGGGCAGGGGTGTCAAACTCAAACTCACAAGGGGCCGAAATGAAACTCTGGGACAGAGTCGAAGGCTAAACTTAATATTTTTGAAAAAGTGACGGCAAATTTGCACGTTTTCTTTATCAACATATATGCAATTTTGAACCTTTAAATTTGGAAACAAACTTATTTCTGCATTAACACTGAATGTGGAATAACCAAATTACACACGAGCAAGTCAATTTTAAATAAAACGCATCAGTGGTATTCATTACTTGTGGTATAATCAGCATTTAAAAAATCTATTCAGGATTTATGTTTTCTTGTTTATTCGTTTTTCTTATTTTTTTATTCTCCTTTTTTTCTCCTGTAATAAGTGTCATCGCTGCTGTGACGTCTAGCTTTCCCCACTGAGGAACAATAAAGGGATTTTCTATTCTATTCATCTATCTGCAGCCTTTCCACTTCCTGTTTACTGCAGGTTAAATCTTTTCTCACGGGCCAACAACAACATAAAAATATCATTTTATCTTAAATGAAAATGCAACATCTCACCTGTTAACTTTCATGTTTTGGAGCAGAAAAAGAGCATAAAGCCAACATATTTAAAGCTCAGTTTGCTCCACTGGTTTACTGTGATGCTCACCTGTTCCAGCCACATACCTGCATCATGGGGTTGATCTGAGCTGAGGAGGAGACTCCTGTTGTTTTGTTCATCTTCATCATAATAATGACAACATTAGAGGACAACAGGTGCTCACAGAGGTTTGTGCTGATGAACATGTCTGAGCAGCTTGACCGCGTTGTTGTGTGTCGGGGAGGAAACACGACGACAGCAGCCACAGAGTCGTGCTGGTTTGAGCGTGTCACTGTTCGCTGGAGTTATATCAGCTCTGTTTGGACGTTAGTTGGAAAACTTTCTCTTTCAGTCGTGAACACATTACTGAGCGGCTAGAATCTCCGTTTCTGGGCTTCAACGTCAGAAAATAGCTGAGTGAACTCGGCGCTGAGAGAGAGGAGTGTAGTTTGTCCGAGACAGCGGAGCTGCAGACACCGGCAGCAGGCGCTGGAAAAAACACAAAGGAGGGGGCGCGTCGGCTCCGCGCTGACACTGCAAAGCATCATGGGAGTTGAAATCTTTGCGGTAAAATTGGCCAGTGGGTCAGTTTTAATATATTTTTGATATTTATCTCACGGACCACATAAAAATGCTCCGCGGGCCAGATGCGGCCCGCGGGCCTTGTGTCTGACATATGTGTGATAGGGCATTCATTCTGATTACTTGTACCCAAGCAAATGTAACTAGTGATGATTTAGCTCCATGACATCTGCTGGTGTTAGTCCACAATGTTTACTGAAGTCAATGTAGATGTCTACCAAAACGACTATGCCATTCAATGTCTACCTGTCAACTATGCCAAAAGTCCCAAAAGCTGCTTCAGTGACGATGATAATACTGACCATTAGGGTTGTCACGGTGTGAAAATTTAACCTCACTGTTATTGTGACCAAAATTATCACGGTTTTCGGTATTACCGCGGTATTTTTTTAAACGTGTTACATTTTCAGACAACTAAATAAACCCTGTATATCAGGAAAATATTGTCCTCAGTTTGTGTCTAAATTTAGCCTAAAATTTGTTACTTTGCAATTATGTTGTTTGTTTACATTTTTCCCCTTTAGTCTTTAAAATACCAATATTTGCCCATAACTTCTTATTTATTGTCTGTTTGATGTCATCATTTTAAAAATATTAGATCAAATGATACTCAGTACTCAAGTAGCCTTCTAATCAGATACTTTTTTACCCTTACTTGAGTAACAAACCCTATATCAGGAAAATATTGTCCTCGGTTTGTGTCCTTCCAGTGAGCTTTGCAGATGTGGGAAAATGTCATCAGGCAGTAATCATTGTTAAATTCATAATTATTCTAGGAGAGAGACCAACTCTCATCTGCCCCTGGGAGCCCCGTAATGCATAGCGTCATTTCAACATGGGGGTGTCCGCGACACGGTTCATATGCAGGTAGCAGCGCTGCGGCTGCTTTATATAGCGACTCGTTGCTTTCTCCCTCAACCCAAATCCTCGGATCACGCGTTTTAGCTAAAACGCCAACGTTAACTTGCCTTGCGTTGACTGTAGAGTTGTGGGTGATGGTCAAGCAGATCTGTCATGAGATTTGAAGCGTTGCTGCCTTTCACAGACACTTTTTCTGCACGTGCTGCAAACAGGATAGCCGTCTTCTATCAACTGTCCCTCGACATTCTTCAAATATCCACAAAATGCCCGTACTTCCCACTTTGTCTTCTTTGAGGGATTATAAATGTCCTGAAAACTGCCGTCTCCTCCTTTGGCCATTATTTCAGGGTTAGCTTCAAGAAAGTTTTGGCTGTAAACAACAAAGTGCGCATGTGCCGCCGGCAACTTCAGCAGATGATATGGTGGCTGGTAAGGGTCACCGCTCCTACAACGCAGCCACGGTAATCCACCAAGATAATACTTTTTTTTTTTAAACAAGACGGTTATTATTATTGTTTACTTTTTTTACCGGGGTTTAAGCTACACCGGTTACCATGACAACCCTACTGACCATGAGTGGTCAACATACTGCTCTGATCTAGGGTTAGGGCCTGTTCCCGCAGCAGTCAGGTAAAGATGCAGCTAAATAGGCAAGGCAGCTTTATTTATATAGCACACTTCACACACAGAGGCAAGTCAATGTGCTTTCCATTAACAAGAACATTAAAATCAACGTGACAGAAAATACTATTTAAAAATTTTAAAGAAACAAAGTTAAATTTATATATCCAATATGGTGGTAAATTGGTTACACTCCAGCACTAAACATCGCCTTTCGCCACCGTATTTAGTTTTTGTTTCATCTTGTTCCCAACTCTTGTGGCCACTAGATGTTTGTTTCATAAAAATAATACATTCGTACCGATTTCAAAAGTAAACTTGCTTCTTCTAAAGTAGACCCACTTTTGATCACAGTTTGAATGTGGGTCTACTTTCTTTAGAGTATAATGAGAAAGTAGTAAAGCAGCTATCACGTGATTGTTTTAGACCAATGT